AAAGCATGCTCATCTCTGTAGAGATGGGCCCACCATCCATGAAACTCGTACTTTGTTGGAATAATGGAGTTCTTTGGTCCTTGATTTGATGAAAGGCAGTATTTTCACAATCTTGTCAACATGGAAATCAGCAAATAGCTACGCTGAGACTAATGGCACAGGGACAAATTAAATACTAGATGGAACACTCCACACTCTGTAAACTTCCCAGAGTCACCTTACCAAGCTCAATGAGGTTTGGTCAACCCATAGAGACACCAGCGCTAAAACTCAAAATCAGATGTGAGTTTTTCTGACCATCACACACACTGTGGAAATGTGCAGCAAACCACCATGTCCAGGGTCTATAAGTTGGTTTTCTGACCATTTACTGGAGGGGTAAACCAAACATGTGACTTGACTTAGGCTATAACATAGCCCCAATGTCAAGATCATCTTTATGTGCAGAGAAGGGGAATCAATTGGTGATTGACTACATAAAGGTAAGCAGGCAACATGAATCATAATGTCTACAAATATTTAAATCCAACTTCTAAGTTGGTTTCATTAGATCCCAAACACAGCGGGCCCACCTCTGACAGTTCCATGATTCAAATGCCATGAAATGCCCTGATGTGCAATGTGCATCCTTGGCATCTGGTCTGCTTTCCCCTGCTAAGCTCTGGTTTGGTATGGCTTCACATGCATCCTCCACTGGCAAGACACCGAAGGCACACGGGGCCGCTGCTGATCATGGAACTGAAATCCATGTCCGATTGTCAACACAGTGAGACTCATTATGTAAACTTCACTAGCAACTCTCAACGAATGCTGACCTCAACCAGACTGGACACTTCCAGGTCACCCACAAAGAACTCGGGTCAATGGCCAAGGTCAGGAGCAGAAAAATGCCATTTGTTTCGAATGAATGATGGACCAGCAGCCCTCCCTGTGATCCCGCCTAAACTATGTGAAGAGTACATAGAAAACCCGTCTTTGGTCCATACTTATGGACAGAGAAAATCACCAAGAAGACATCTATGTGACCCCGGCTGCCATCAAGTCAACCAAACTCTTCCAATTAACCATGAGTCACCGACTATACTGAGCCCTAGCCACATGGTCAACATTGCTGGAAGAAACAACCCGTATTACCCTTTTATTTATTTACTTATTTATTCTGCAGCAAGCTTAAGGCTCTGTTCACAAACTTCACCAACTGTCACACAGTGAGAACTTATGGGGAGATCTTAAACTTATATATGCTGTTGCAAAGGCTGGAAATTTTACTGATCCTAATGGTAAGGCTTATTCGCAAAAATCAATATATTTTCAAATTATACTTCAAGCTCAATTACTTCAAGAAAAAACAAAAAACAAATCTGTTCTCTAACAATATAAGAGCATTTGATTCTAATGAAAAAGAAAGAAAGAAAGAAAAAGATTGGCACCAAACCAGGATGCTGTTGTTTGAAAAAAAAAACAAGTGATATTAATGGAAAAGATTGCCTAAAACGCATATCCTAACTTATCACAGAAATATAAAAGTTTATATTCTGAAAATATATACTGTATTAAAGTCTGTAAGCATTTCAACCAAAATATGCAGAAATAATTAAGCAACACTTATCTACAACAAAAATATACATGCAAGACAACCCCCAAATGGTTTCCCTTAAATATCTACAAAGGCAAACTGTAGATTTTTAAAGATTATACAAAACCATTTACAGAGAATCAAATAAAATACTTAAGAAATCTCATTTAGAGTCTTAAATACTGTGTATATTAGCAAGAATATCTAGACTAAACTATACAACAGATCTAAGTATCTGAATACAGAAACACAGAAGATAAGTAAATCTGAATTTTAAATATTCAGTTAGGAAGGTTTGAGGATGTTCCTATTTGTTTCTCTGTTTAAGAAAATTCCCACAGAAACTAGATTGTAAAATTGCATGAATGTGACTGAACTTCAAATTAAAAAAAGTTTACAAATTCTTTTTCTTAAACCAGTGTATATTGGCATTCACACACAGCTGTTTTTAAATGTGGACATTCAGAGAGAAAGTTGTCTTGTTTATACGGGAAAAAATATTTCCATGCTTCAGAGAGAACATGTCCTACCTTAATCTATCCTGAACAAGAATATTTTAAATCGATTCTCTGCTACCTACTCACAGCTATCAAATTTCATTCTTAGCAGGTAATGTTGATGGTTTTCACACAAAGGCATTGTTCCAAAGTAGGAAGGGACATGTGAGTACATTGGCACTACGCTGTGGCTTCTAAATAGTAAAGAAAGTCAAACCATTGTTGGCAAAGTCCTGCAAAAAGTCCTCTTGGAATGGGGCTAACTCAAAACAGTTCCACTACAAGAAAAGGGGAAGCGAAGGGCTGTTATGGGCTGGGAAGAAGAAAAAAGGAGATAGCACAGCTAGAGGGGGTTTCCTGGAGAAGCTTCCCTGGTAAACCGATGTCCTCTACTCTCCACCCACAACCAGGCTTCCAAACTGTGGGAGCAGACCCACCTAGCTCTAGGGAGTGACACGTGTGGGACAGACTGGAGCAAAGTAGTTGAAAGAAAGAAAGAGAAGAATGGATCCCATGGAAGGACACAGGGTGCTAGGATTCAAGATTCAAAAATGAAAATCAGAGCATCGCCCCAAGAAACGTATTAGGGGTAACTCCTGAGACCATTACAGGTCTGGTATTGGGCCAATGTACTAAAAAGCAAATTTCATTTACACATTATCAAAACACCTATTTAACAATGGAAAATTTCAGTGGTTCAGTCTAGCCTGCAGCTAACAGGCTCAACCAAGTTTGCCAAACCAGTAAAACATTCTTATAAAATGGAGGATATGGACAGAACCCAAACACTTTCCTGTTAAACCGAGGGCCTGTAAATGAACATGAATTCCACCTCAGAAGTGGCTCCACACTGCTACTAGCTCAGTGCGATGTTGACACGTCTACAGTTAGTAGTGCACCCAGAACGCAACCATTTGTGACTCTTTCAGCACAGGTCAAAAGGAACTTCCAAATCCAAATGAGAATCCGGATACCACTTCAATGGATGTTGGACGGAGCTGCCTCTAATGCAAAGCTACACAGAAAGAAAGTAAGGGTCCCTCTCGGCAGAGGATTTAGTGATGGTGAACAGATTATCTGAGGAAAATGGAGCTTTATCTGAGGGCTCTGGGAAAGCATGTTGGCTTTCTTAAAGTGGGGGCATGACAACAGACATCTGGGCAGAAGCAGCTGCTTTCCTATATATAGTATTCTCAATACAGAACCCAAATGGGAGAGAACTCAGAACTTCAATTCCAACTTCCTCTGCCTGGAGTCAGCCAAGGTGACTGTTGCCTTCTGGCTTCCCTGGCCAAGATGGCACAGACCAGAGAAGGGAGAAGTTCCCTCTTCTCCGTGACCCATACCGAGTCACATAGAAACTCAAATCGGAAGGTTTCCTCTACAGGGAACCACAGGTATCTTAGGGATCAAGAGTCCAAATGAACTTCAGAATTACTGTTAAAGGAGCAAGCCCCTCCCTCTGGTGTAGACATTCAACCTGCTCTTTGAAAACCAATGTTCAGGCTAATGGGTCCCTCGGCTGGTCCTGCCCGGGGCATCTGGTCACCTTCAGGAGAGGAGAGATGACCAAGGAGTGGTAACAGCAACAGTGCTTTTCCCTCTTCTCAGCCCATGCCACCTCCCCCAGCTGTGCCCAACTCTGTCGGCTCCACTCAACCATCTCAGGGGTCAAAAGCAGCTGGTGCCTTCCAGAGGAACAGAGCATCAGGGAAGAGCAAAGGGCTTCTGAGAAAAAACAGGAGTTGCTATGGAAATGAAAAAACTCCCAACACCTCCAGCATCTAACTTTCTGTGGGTGTCTTGACTTATGACCGGTGGACCCCTCTTGGAGAACAGGCTTTGATCTAGCCTTGATGGCTACCTCTCTCCTCACCAGCCAAAATCCACACCACACACCACCTATCCCTGCAGCTGACTAAGGGACTATGGCCTGCTGGTCTGAAAGCAGTCTCAGGGTCTTCTGGTACTCCAGGGGCACTAGGCAAGAGACCCGACCCCTGGTCATTGCTCCTTCCTATCAGCAACGAGAAAAAAGATGGATTGTCTTGGCACCTGGAGGGAGAAAGATTCAGCAGAGTTAGATGTCTTTCTCCCCCTTCAAGAAGGCCAAAATCAGAAATCACAAGACATGTGGAAGAAACACACTTTTAAGTTCAAGTCCAACCAGTTTCCCCAGGCAAATAAGTCTGACTCTAGACAATGCGTGGTCCCCATATAGAAGCTTATTCCCAACCTCTCCGTGACATCAGACAGGTAGGACCCACAGGTTGGTGCACTATTTCAGCTGGGACCACCTTATATTTCCTAAAATGCAGCAAAGTGAAGAGAAACCCCCTTCCCTGGTTTCTTCTAAGGACACGCCCAGAGAGCTAGTATTGTCACCGCTGAAAGTTGGTGCCAAGCTCTTCCTAGTATTTGCTGAAATTCTCCCACTGCCATCCATCTGAACTGTATTTCTATGGGGGTCATTGCTAGGGTGCACCAGACGGCAAGAACCTTGCATGGGATCTGGCCCAGGGCAGTACGAAAATAACATCTGTGCAAACAGACATTGTAAATACATCAACACAAATAAATTAATTAAATAGGTCTGATTGAAGAAAAACTAAAATTAAAAAAAAAAAAGTTTCCTAGTAGTTCATGTTTTTGCAAAATTAGCTTTACATATAATACACATAAATTATCAGAATTTCCACTTACATTGTTTTTAAAAATATATATTTAACAAAAACATTTGTAAATGTACACTATCTGGGTTTGTAAATCATTCGATTGGGTTTGAAGACCAAGCCCTAAAGGTCACACAGATTTCCATAAGGTAGGAAGGACACTGAGGCAGGGACTACACAATCATTTTTGTTCACCAGGAAATTCTCTAAGAAGAGTCGCGTTCCCTGTTGCCCAATCTGCACCCAGTCCGAGAGAACCATGTCGGCCAGGTCCCCCAATCAGAGGCACTGTGCAGACACAGCCTGAGTCAGAAGGATAGGGGGCATTGGTCTCCCCCTTCCTGGACCTCAGTGGTGCATTTCAACAAGTGGGGAAAAGACAGGGATCTCTGGCAGAGCCTGGAAGAGATAGCCCTCAATAGCTCTCTGGCCAGTGGGGGGAGGCTGAGTATTCTATGATTCCCATCTGTTACACAAAAATCAAACCAATGAAGAGCAATCAAAAGACAACAGGAAATGGACACAACCCTAGGTACAAAGAGATATCTTGACAAGCTTCTTGGCCAGCAGGGCATACACTGTGCTCCGATCTCTGAGACACAGGGCAACGCTGGAAGTCAGGCGCCCTGGGAGCTCTGGGCCAGGTGAGCCAGGGCCCTTCAGACCTCATAAATCTTGTCTTGCAGGTAGCTGAACAGCGAGTCGAGGCCTTTGGAGGAACTCCAGAGTTGCTTGAGCATTAGGCATTCTTTCTCATTCACATCTTCAAGCACCGATTTCAGGAAGCTCCGAACGAGGCATTTGGACTCCTCCAACACCTGGAGGGAAATGGACATTCCTGGTTAGCCAGATGCTAGGACTTTGCTTCAGGATCATGCTTGGCCCACAAGGCACTGGCCAACCTCCCAACACAGGGCATCAGAGATGGCCTCTGCTGGCCTGCTACTCCTAGCCTAGAGTTCTCAGCAGTGCCTCTCAGGAGTCCAGCTGCACCGAGATGCTGGACTGAGACAGTTGCAAGTGCCTTGTCTTTTACGCAAGGGTGCCATGAATTCAGCATCGTTTCCTCTGTGCACCATGGGAAACTTTGAGAAACGTGCCTTATCCTCCTCTCTATACCCCAGTTTCATTATCTGTGAAAGAGGAAAAAAGACATTTCACTCAGGATTGCTAGAAAAACAGAACGAGCTAATAAACACCAATGTACCCTACCCGTATGATGTACCCGATTACAACGCCTCATGAGTACTCTTTCTATTCTTAGTAGAAGTGTAAGAGTGGCACAAATTGGCACAGTAACATCAGTTATAATACAAGAATAACAGGAATGCTATTTGCAATAGCGTTACTAGTACAGCAATATATTAATATTGTAATACAAGATATTTAATATGTTATTATAATAGCAATATCATATTTCTATGCAAATAATGTCCCTTCTCCTCACAAGGTATATTCATAAGCACTACGCTAATTTTGGAGTCCTGGTGTAGCACTGTGGGCTAATGCATCAGACAGCAAAGTCATTTGAACTGCAAGGTCAGTGGTTCAAGCTTACCAGCTGCTCCTTGGAAACCCTATACAGGGTCGCTATGGGTTGGAATCAACTCAACGGCACTTCACAACGACAATGCTCATTTAGGGTCCTGGTGTGATGCTGCAGGATAAACACTGGACTGCAAACCACAAGGTTTGTGGTTCAAACTCATCAGTCGTTCCTTAGAAACCCTATACAGGGTCATTACGAGTTGCCACCAACTTAACAGCACTTAACAAGCAACAGTGCTAAATTTTTATTATTTTTTTTTCATAAATAAAAGTATTAGCATTGCATACTTACAAAAATACCGGAGGAAAGGGACGAAGGCATTGGCAACAACTACAAAAAAAGTACAGTGCACACGATTTGCATAAAATACAGCAACAGTGACATTAACAGTAACCTTGCTGTCAATACTACTAAAGCTACTAGCAGTTGTTGTTGTTGTTAGGTGTCATGAAGTCGGCACCAACTCATAGCGACCTTACGCATAGCAGAATGAAACACTGCCAGGTCCTGGGCCAACTGCACAATTGTTGCCACGCTTCAGCCCACTGATGCTGCCACTTTGCCAATCCATCTTGCTGGGGGTCTTCCTCTTTTTCTTTGACCCTCCACCTTACATGCTATCCCTCCCCAGTGACTGGTCCCTCCTGACAATATGTCCCAAGTATGAGAGACGAAGTTTGGCCATCCTGGCCTCCAAGCTACTCCCAGCTACTAGCAGCAGTTCCTAGTAATTCTCATAATAATCAAAGTAACAATAGGAATAATGCCATCACGTTGTCATTGTGAAGGGCTGTCGAGTTGGTTCCAACTCATAGCGGGCCTGTTTCTGAGGAGCGGCTATTGGGTTTGAACTGCCAACTTTGAGACTAGCAGCCCAGTGCATATCCTACAGTGCCACACCAGGACTCCAATGCATCATGACCACCATGAACTAACAGGCTTTAGTTCTGAGAGTGAGAATCACTCTTCCTGAAATCCTTCATTTGCTCCTCATGATAACTGAAAAGAGGGGTCACCTTTTTATCCCCATGTTTCAAATGAAGAGCCTGAGGTTCAGAGAAGGACAGGTGCCCACGGCTGGTGCCCGGGGAAACCAAAGTCATGTTAGCTGCAGCACTGAGTGAGGCTCACTGGCTCACTTCCTCCCTCCCATTGGCCTCTCCTGGCTTCCACACAGGACAAAGGTCAGGGTCACGTTTTCCCAGTGGAACTAAAGGCTGAGGGTGGAGGAAGTCCGGGCTTAGCCCGGGCTGGCAGACTGAGAATGCTTCTTCCTCCCAAGAATGTCTCCTGAGAGACTGGCTCTCGGAGTTCTGTGGGCCTCTCTTTGTTTGCATCCATCCTTTTCTCTGGGAAAATCACCCCACACTCCTGAGTTCCTCACTGCAGAGAAGAGAGCACTCTCCTTGTAGAAACTTCTAGTTGACTGGCCTCTCCCAAGAGCTTGTAGCCCTTCAGGTATCTCTTGGATTCTTGAGTTTTTTCCTAACAGCTGGTTTCATGGCTCTTTCTCATGGTCCACAAAATAAAGACGCAAGCTTCTCAATCTAACATCTCGCCTTTCTCTCATTCTCCTTTGAAGTCTTTCTGGTCCTCATATACCTGGAGCACGCCCTCAAACCAGTGTCTGGAGCTCAGACCCTGGGTGACGTTTTCCTACCAAAGACCCAGCTCTCACTGGGGCGGTCTCCTCTGTACGATGTTTCTACTTGCTTCTTTAGAAGTTCACTCCAACATGGGTTTCAGAGCTAAAACTTGGAGAGTCCTGGGATGAGTGGGTCACCCTAGTTACTAGGAAGCTTAAAAGAGAACTTATGCAGAGAAATCACGATGCAGAATTCTGTGCCGTGATCGTCACTGTAGTACTGCTCATAATGTTGCTGCTAAGTGCCATCGACTTGGTTCCGATTCATAGCAACCCTTTATAGGGTTTCCAAGGAGCAGCAAGTGGGTTTGAACCACCGACTGACCTTGTGGTTTAAACTGACCTTGCGGTCCGGTGCTTTATCCCACAGCGCCACACAAAGCAAAATGTTCATCAATGGATGACTACAACATGTGGTGTATAAATGGAGATAACCCGTTACGTGGAATTCTAACACATGCTACTACAGGAACTTTATAAACATTGTGCGGCGCAAAATAAATCAGTTTCAAAAGGCTACATACTGTATGATCTCATGTAGATGAGCTAAGCAAATATAGAAAAACCAAAATGGTGAGTGGTTATTAGGGGTAGAGGTGCTGGGGGGCGGGTAGTGAAAAAGCTTGTGTTTGGGAGACCCTGAGTTCATGTTAATCATAGTAGAAAATTTTAGAAAAACAAAACAGTGGTAATAGAGACACAACACGAAACATGCAAGGGATGTCACTGAGTTGTAAGTGTGGACACTGTGTTGACGAATGTTTTGGTGTGTACACTTTCACCACGAGAGACGAATCTATTAAAATCTGTAGAACTCATTATCACCTCAGTCTCCTTTCATCAGTTTTATCCTTCCTGGGAGCAGGGCTCACACACAGTGCTGTTGTTAGGGGCGAGTGGGCCGACCTTCAACTCATAGTCACCGTGTGTGACAGAGAAGAACAGCCCCAAAGGGTTTTCTAGGTGGTGATCTTAACAGCAGAGGATCCCCAAGTCTTTCCTCCATGGAAGCACTGGGTAGGTCTGAACCACCAACCTTTTAGTTAGCAGTTGAGTGCTTGACCAATGTGCCATCAGGTCTCCCAATACAATAAGTCCAAGGCAATCAGGAGAACCATGAGAGTCAGGGGTGGCTACAGGTCAAAAGGGGAGAAGGAGGAGGGTTGGGTCTGGTCCCATTAACCCAGTCCAGCACCCCCCTGTCTCCGAAGCACACAGAGAGATACCAGGGCCTCATTCTCCAAAAACAGGCATGCTTCCACTAACCACCTGCTCTCCATCTTCCAGCAGGTTAGCTCTTCATCATGCTCAGAATGGCTTTTATGAGTTCAAGTTGACACTTCAAGTTGGCATGGCTGCTGAGGTGCTACTAATGTGTTTATGTCTGTATTTATACACGTGTGGACTCCTGGTGTGGCATTGTAGGATAAGCAAACCACAGGTTTGGTGGTTCAAACCCACCAGCTGTTTTTCAAAGACTCTATACAGGGTTGCTATGAGTCAGAACTGACCTTCATGGAACTTAACGACAAACAACAACATTCACATATTTCTGTATTTTCCAGTGTGTCTTCACGAGTGTCTCACTGTGACTCTTAGAAGCGCTGAGCAGATAGACACAGGAAATTAAACACAGGGAGAGCACGTACAGCTGGTCCAATATCCTGTGTTCGTATCTGCCTTTGTGTCTTCTCTCTTATCTCTTAAACACGATAGATGTTTTGTGTTTTGCTGTATGCTTAGTAAGCATTTATAAGGTGCCCAGATGGCCTGGAAGTTAAAGCAGCTAGGTTGGTTACTGAAAGGTTGGCAGTTCAAACTCACCAGACACTCCACGAGAGAGAGCTGAGGCAGTCTGCTTCTGTAATGATGCCAGCTTTGAAACGCTACGGGACAGGTCTACTCTGCCAGATGGAGGCACTATTAGCTGGAATCGACTCAGGGACAGTGGAGTTGGTTTTAGAGATTTTTCAGCCATTTTTTAAATCCATGCACCCTACTCGAGACTGTACATCTCTTTTGTGAGGTACTTCAGAGAGGAGATAATGGGAGATTATAATAATATAATCTAATAATGCTAATAAGGCTGACCTTCGCCCGCTGGGCTTAAACTCACAGTACTGAGATGAGGCATTTAGTTAAGTTACACAGGTCCCATCAGATAACAACTACATGGCCCCTGTTTTCGCAAGCTCAACAATTTCTCTGTATGACCCAGGAAAAGTCAGTCAATGATTCTTGAGACTGCTGGTCCCCATCTATGAAATGGGTCTATTGCAAAAGTCACCCTAACCATTAAGAAGATTAAAAGATAATCTGTATAAAGAAATTCACAAAGTACTTGACCCGTGAGAGGTATTCGTCAAGATGTGGAAATGAGAAACACAAACGGAAGCCTGTATACCAGTGTTCACTGCAGCATGTTTACAACAGCGAGCGGTGGAAACAACTTAAGTGAACGTCAACAGACAAGGGGGAGACATCCTGTGGTCCACATATACCACGGAACACTACTCAGCCAGAAAAAGAAATGAAGTCTTGATGCATGCCCTACACGAAAGAAGCCTCAAAACACTGTCTGAGTGCAGTTAACTAAGTCAGTAGCAAAAGGACAAAAACGGCCAGATCTGTCTTACGTGAAATAAGCAAATATACACTTGACCCTTGAACAACACCGGTTTGAATGTGCAAGTCTGTGTACAGGTGGATTTTTTGTTTTGTTTTTGAACAAGAAGGAAAGTCATGACAATAAAAGGAAGTTGAATTGCTAGGTATGTCCTGTAGACTGAGTTCTGCAGCTGTGGTAACTCACCAACTCAAGAGAAAGGAATCCAGCCATAAGGACCATGGTAATCAAAGGGAAAGGTGTGAAGCCAGTAAGCCAGCAGGTGTGAAAACCTGGTACTTTCTGTGTTCCTGCCTTTCCTGCCTCCCCTTTGACCTTCTCCACCTCTTCCACCTCAGTTTACTCAAGGACCAAGACCTCTATAATGATCTGTTTCCACTTAATAATTCCATTTGGGGGGAATCTAGAGTTCATCAAGGGTCAACAGTACAGAAACCGGAGACTGTGAATGGTCACTGGGGACACAGGGAGGTGAAAGGGCGAAGTGTTGTTTGGGGACTCACCACAGCACTGCAGGACGCCATCTCCTTGACCCGCAGCATGACCTCCTGGCTGAAGGTGGTTGGCCAGAAGACCTGGGACACAAGCCCCCGGCTGCAGGCTTCCTGGGCAGTGAGCTTCCTTCCACAGAACAGCATCTCATTGGCCTGAAACAGCAAAGGCAGGTGAAGGCTGAGCATCTGCTGGTAGCGAGTGCACGATGCCCCTGCTCTCGAAGGCAGGATCTTGAGATGAGGGTGGAGAGGCTTTGGGGAGCCCCATAAATCACCTATAAACGTGTGTGTCTCTGTGAACTTTTTAAAGGGTAGAATGACTACACTGCTCATGACACTGTGCACTTTTGTGCTAGGTTACTGTCATGGGTTAATCTGCTATGGTAGAATGACTGCAACCCTCATGGCGTTCTCAACAGAAGTCACACATTCACTGTAGCTTTGCCCAACTGTGCGCCTTTGAGTCGGTGGTAGTCCTACGTGACACAGTAAAACAGCCCTATTGGGTTTCCAAAACTGGACTATTTTGGGGACAAGAAAAGAAAAAATCACCAGGTTTATTCTCCAGCAGAGCAGCAGGTGCATGTGAACTGCCAACCTTTTGTTTAGCAGTCAAGTGCTAAACTGTGCCTTTACCAGGGTTCCTTTGTCTGTCTGATACCCAGAGTGGGTTACCAATAGGCAAGGGAAGCACAGGCCTTTTTTGTGCTTATTAATCTGCAGTGAACAGTTTCACATGGGTTTCAGATCAGTAAATAATCATAAGTCTGTGCTTACCTTGATTACCAGGTACTCTGTCCCTGTTCAGGATGGCAAATTTGGAAATAGGTTTTGATTCTATGGGAAAGTACTGTGGGGTTAGGGAAAGACAGATGTCAGCCATGCCTAAAGGCAGATTCTTTGATGTGGCGAAAAAACGTGAAGCTGCTTGCTATAGACTACTAAGTAAGCACAAGTAAGCCCATGCTTATCTTGCTTATTAGGTAACCTGTCCCTGCCAATACACCTCTTATTCCTGGTGACAGAGACGTGAGGGTACCTTAAGTCAGTCCTGATATCCAGACCATGACAACCGGCTCAGGCATGACCCTGGACCCATCCCAGACCACGCTGGGCTGATGGGAAGAGTCCGCCTCCCTCTCTGGGTACAGGATACAGTCAGTAAAGCCAACCACTGCTGTGCCCATGTTTGTGGAGGTGGTCCACTAAGGAAAGAGAAATGGACAAAGAGTTCTGCACCGTGTGGTTTCTGGACCCTGTCCCCCACAAGGGAACTCCTATGTCTGGACTTGGCTGGTGAAAGTCCCGTTTATTCTTCTGATGTCTGAGCAAGTGTCCCAAGCTGCACCAGCACAGCGTGCCTCTCTGTGGTCCAGGGCCCTGCAATGGGCCAGGAAACTCCCCTCTGGTTTCCCCAGGCCCTTAGGACTCAGGCTGTCTCGGTATCCCACTTCCCAAGGGATTTCCTTCTGATCTGAAATACGCAAGCTGTCACACACATTCTAGGAGGAGTCTCAGATAAGGGTGAGCCCTGGGATCAAGGCGCAGAGTGGGCAGCACACTGACCATTAGGACGTAATGGTCACCACCTGTGGGCGGGGGGATATGGGCCCTTATCTTGTCAGGAAAGATTCCCAACTCCTTCCCCTATAAACAATGCCTTCTGTGATCTGACCTCCACCCAGTACCCCACTTGTCTCCCTGCCCCTGGGTGTCAGCCACTCTTTCATTGGCTCTGCCAAGCTCTCTCTGCACAAAGGCACCTATGCATAGTAGCCCCGGTCTCACTGGTTGTCACTGATCAGTCACAATGGCCCAAAGGACACTCTATGGGGCTGCAGTACTGAAATGTATTAGGTTGGTGTTACAGGTTGAACTGTATCCCCCACAATGCTACGTTCGTTCAAACTCCCTATACCTGTGAATTGAAGTCCTACTTAACAAAAACAATAACATACCTTTGAATATGATCTTATTTGGAAATACCAGCATACCTCGGAGATCTCTGTGTTTGGTTTCCCAACACACACAAAAAAATCATTTATGTTTACACTCCATGGTGGTTTGTTAAGTGCACAACGGTGCAAAGAAATGGAAGTCCCGGTGTGGAGCTGTAGGATAAACACTACACAGTCAGCAGTTCAAAACCTACCAGCTGCTCCTCGGAAACCCTACACAGGGTAACTACGACTCGAAGGCCATTTAACAACAATCACAGTGTGATGAAAAAATCTGAGTTACTGTGAAAATGACCAAAATGGGACACAAGAGACATGAAGCAATCACATGATGTTGGAAAAAAATGGCGCCAAGAGACTGCCTTGTCTGGGTTGCTACAAACCTTCAATTTGGAAAGAAAATGAAAAGAAAAGCAATGTATTTCTGTGAAGCACAATCCAGTGAAGAGCAATAAAACAAGGTATTCCCGTAGAATCCTTGCAGATGTAGCGAAGCTGGGATGAGGTGGTTCTAGATTAGCGTGGGCCCTGTACCCAATGGCTGGGGTCCTTTTAAGAGAAAGAAGAACGAGATTAAGATACAGAGGTAGAGCTCGAGCTTCAGATGAAGGCAGAGGCTGGGGAGATGATGTAGCTATAAGCCAAGGAGACTAAAGATTGCCCACAGCCTCCAGAAACGTGAAGAAACAAGGAAGAGTCTTTCCCTAGGGCCTTCAGAAGGAACAGGGCCTTGTTGGCACCTTGGTTTCTGATTTGTGTATTCCAGAACTGCACGACAATGCATTTCCGCAGTTTAAAGTCCCCCAGCATGTGGTACTTTGTCACGGCCACCCGAGAAAGAGCAACCATTGGTAATTCATCCAGAATATATATTTCGAGGAAGATGTCTAAAGGAAAATACATGCCAATCTATAAGGGGGCTTCCAAAAGTTCACAGAAAAATGTCATGATCTTTTCATTCCATTTTTACACAATTTTTTTGAAGGCTCCTATTTAGTTAGAAACACCTCGGTCTCAGGAAGTAGAAAGAAAAGGTAGAGAGTCAGTGGTTAAGTGCCATCGAGTCGGTTCTGACTCACAGAGAGAGATCCTGTATAGAGTTTTCAAGGAGCGGCTGGTGAGTTAGAACTATTGACCCTGTGATTCAAACTGACCTTGTGGTCCAGTGATTACTCACAGCACCACACCAGGACTCCAGAAAGTCACTAGAAAGAGGCACCACTCAATCTCTAAGAGCTTGTCTCCATCAGCTGCGTTCTTGGAGTTTCAAAAACGATTCAATTAAAAGAGAGGAACACTTTTGTGACCTCAAAGATAGTGTGGGACGGTCTTTGTGGGACACTGGGAGGAGGCTGACGGCACAATGGCTGCCATCGCATGGGGACATGCTTGCTTGCTTCCGAGGTTTAGTGACTGCTGGTGTCTCCTCCCCTGGTGAGACTGGATGTGTAGTCAGCTCAGCTGACACATGAGTCCCACCTGTTGGCCCTGGGGTGGTGCCAGTGGGCTTCCAGAGATAATGAGATATCACCTGCTCAGTTTCACATGCCTCCAGGAGGTAGCCACTGGGGCCCCTCTTTAACCCCCACCTTCCCCTGACAGGACTGGGTTTCCAAGGGGAAGGATGGCAGGACCAATGTGGAGGGAAGCATAGGGTCCAGGCTCAGAAGTCACTGCTTCGTGCTTTGATGCTGTGCAATCTCTACCTCTCCAAGACTCAGTCTCTTCATCTCTACAGTGGGTAGCAATGACCAGCCCTGGAGAGTTGAGACAATTCAAAGAAGCAACAAGAGTGAGGTGCAAACATAGGTCATGTGGTCAGAGTCAAAATGAGCAGCTCAGAGACTCTGTTGGATCCGGACTGTTGAGGATGGAGCTAGTGTGTTATCCATCTTCATTCTTCCAAGTAGGTAAGACAATGCCCGGTGCACTGAGGGCCCAGGGATGGTTGTTGAAAGAAAGAAAGACAAACACTGGTGTATCACCTCAACTCTCTAAACCTTGGTTTCTTCGTCTGTAAAAAGGAGGCTGATACAATCTACCACGTAGTCCCTGAGTGATAGAAACACTCAAGTGGTACGCTTGACTGCTAACCAAAATGTTGACGGGGCAAATCCACCCCGGGGTCTGGAGATCTACTTCTTGGAAATCAGTTACTGAAAACTCTATGGAGTACAGTTCTACTCTGATTTACATGGGATCGCCATGAGTTTAGGGTTGGCGCCATGGCAACTGGCTGTTTTCAGGGGCCTACCTTCAGGACATTGTGGTCATGGGTCACAGAGCCTCCTCACCCAAAGACCAACACAAAGTAGGTGGTCAATACACGCTTGGGGCACCTTGCTGGTAATAACTCAGTCTATGCTTTGCTCTGAGCCCCAAGGTGGTTTTGGTATGTGATGTTAACACTGGACAGATTTTCAGAATCGATAGTATTACAGAAACAGCAGAGTGTATCATGGTAAGCCACCACCACGCAAGATCTCTCCGGGCCACTGATTCAATACACCTTTAGGGAACACCAGGTAGGCCCCAGGCATGCTGAACACCCAAGGGCTCAACCCCAAGGACCTCGGGCTGGAGGAGACAGACACACACACACACACACACACACACACACACACACAATGTATCTGGAGTTGAGAGAAGGCACAGTTGTGAATCCTTGGGGGAAGCATTTCAATAACTTTGAGAAGCTTATCATTTTACTCTGAATCAAAACTTCCAGGAAAATAAACACGAACTTCTAAAAGGAATGTAGAACAGATGAAGATCAATGAGCAACTACTTCTCGTGAGAGGCTGGTAACAAACAGAGAAGGCTAGACTCCCCACTCCCCCACCATAAAATGCAAGTAGCACAAAATCCTGAGGAAACATAAAGTGGGGACAGTTCCGGACATTTCCACACCAGAGACCACTGAGAATAGAATGACGTCTTCTAAGCCTGTAAAGGAAACTGAGAGGCTCACTTGGCTGGCAGTTGGCCATATTTGCTCCAATGAATTCCGATTCAAATCCTCCTTTATCTACTCCTTTGTGGGTACTAGGAATAGGGGAAAGTCTTTTTCATTCAGAAAGGCAACAGACAGTCTTCCCAGCTACCTCTCAGACACTGTATCTCTCCAGGGTCCTTTTGGAAGGGAAAATAAAAGGTGTTACCCCAAAGTCCCAGGATTCAGTAAAAGGGTGAGTCTTTGAGGAAGGAGATAATGGTCAATAGCATGAACACCCCAATCTAGAGCTCAGAAAATAAGAACATAAACAGAGAGTTGAATTAGTCACCAAATACGTGGCTGGGGCAAGTCACATGACCCCACAAAGGCTCAACTCTCCCCAGACCAGCAAACACAGTATTGTTAAGATTCCAAAAGACAGTGCTCAGAGCAGCACCCAGTCAGTAATGAATGTGCAAAGAAGGGTCCTTAGATGCATGATTCTTGGTGGTATCAATTTCAGTAAGGAGTAATGAAGAGAATTAAGGAAAGAGAGGGGATATTGCTAAGGGCTCTCTCTAATTGTAAACAAAAGCAAAACCAGAGACATGCAAATAGGGCTTGCAGGCCCTCAGATGAAAACAAGGGAAGAAGGGCACCCTCTGCCCTTCCCAAAGGGAACCAAGAGCAACTGCCTCACTGGTTTGTTGGTTTGTTTGTTAAATGCCTTCAAGTAGGTTCTGACTCAGAGTGAGCCTGTATGGGGTTTCCAAGGAATGGCTGGTGAGCTTGAGCCTCCAACCTTGCGTTTCAAACTGACCTTGAGGTCAAGTGTCTTTCCTACAGTGTCACACACCAGAACTCACAAATAATCACATTTAGGCAGTCGTGGGAGATACTGCAACTCTGGTTCCTGAGCACTGCAACAAAGCCAATGTCATAATAAAGCAAACCACACTTAGGTGTTTTGGTCTCCCAGTGTTATGTTTACATCACACTGTAGTTTACAAAGTGTGCAACAGTGTCATGAAGAAGTTTCCAATGACCAGCAGAGACATGAAGTACACATGTGTTGTTGGGAAAAAATGGCGGCAAAAGACGCTGGATGCAGGGCTGCCACCAACCTTCAAATAGTTAAAAAAAAAAAACAAAAAAAAAAAACCCAAAACCTGACGCACAATAAAATAATGGAATATGAGGGGGCTTGTTAAAGTGCATGCATGGAAGAATGGATTGAAAGATCATGGAAATTTTCCATGTACTTTGAAGCCTCCTCATATCTGTGGATTAACTAAAAATAATCACAATAATGCTACAAACAACGTTATCTTCCAAAAAAAACTGAAACGTAAACAGAAGCATTTCCAAATACAGAAAAGCTCACAATAGATGTGGGCATTATAGAAGGAAGCCATGCTACTCAGCCCTGCTTTGAAATCACCCCAGTCTCTTCTCTCTTCTTCCTGGACACAAACTGGACTACATTTCCCAGCCTCCTTTGTACTTAGGTATGGCCATGTGTCTGAGTCTTGACCAATGAGATGTGGATGGATGTGAATTTGTCCCATAGAGGCCTGGCGGCGGCCCATGAAAACTTCCAGGCTCTCCTCACACACTGGATGGAATTGAAAGTGGACTGGCCTGGGTCCCAAAGCAATGTGGCATGCTGCTCACCAAGCATACCTACTCTAGACACACGATGGCACAGAAACATTTGTTGTATTAAACCAGTGAGGTTATGGGGCTGTTTGTTACAGCAGGAAGCCTACCCTAATATTCTACTGGGTTGTTGTAAACATTGAATGAGATAATGTAAGTAAAGTACTTAGTGACTGGCATATAGAATGTGTTCAGTAAATGAATTTTACCATCTTCTCAGCCCTCACTCTCTGGCAGCCCCAGTTTTGCTACTTGCATCAGAAACTGATCAGCTGGGGCTCCAGCCCTCTGAGGAGGGTGGGGGGGTTGAGACAGAGCAGCAGATAACACAAGCTGAGAGAACCCTGGGTTTCAATCCATATGCAAAACCATGTCCTAAACCCAATTTTCATCAATGGCACCCAACAATGGACCTGTCATCATTAGAGCCCCCTTGAGGAGTCCCTTTAAATAATTTATATCAGACATCCTTAGGATGTGAAAGAAATCTTAAATATCATCAATCCCAACTCACCTGCATCACTCGAAGCTTGAATCTCCTCTAACATCCAAGGGTAAGTCAAAAAGTATTGTCACAAACATGACAGAAACCTTTATTAGACAAAAATATCAAAATGCGAAGCTACTGTTGCTCAACATATCTCTATCTGAGGTCTACACAAGTCTGTTACTTCCATCTCTCTAATCCTTTACCAAAGAATTCCACACTCTTCAATTTACACCATGACAAAACGGAAGTACTTTCTGACTTATGTAATCATCTTGCCTAAATGTTAAGACCTCCAATGAAGTGGAAGTCACATCTCCCAAATCCACCCAATTTCATCCTCGGGAATCTTTTCAGGACCCAAATCCACCCATCACCATAAGGCTTACCAGCGCAACTCCCAAGATCTGGGGGAAGGTGTATGAGGAGCAGCCAGCCGGCGTGAGGCGGATGGTAGCGTAGGGAGTCTGAAACCAGGCCTTCTCACTGGCCCACACAATGTCACACAGAGGCAGGATGGAGGCGCCCAGGCCCAGGGCAGGCCCATTGATAGCCACCACAATGGGCTTCTTAAACTGGATAAAGGCCTTCACAAAGTCCCTGAGAAGAAAGACAAGAGTTCCTTTAACCAACGACCTCAGCTTGTGGAGACCCATTTGGAACATGAGATTCTGCCAAGGCTGAAGTCAACTTTGCCAGGTGCTAAAATGCAGCCCTCAACTTCAGATTAGAGCCCTCCCCGTCCCAGACACAGAGTCACCAGGCTACAGTAACAGGCTCAGCACACTCGGTTGTTGGTGCTAAGTTCTAGATGGGATATTGATGGGGTGACCACATGTCCCAGATAGTCCCAATCCACTGGCCCAATCACATACCCAGGTATCAATTTCTTCCACTCTCAAAAGTGATGGATTAGACAATCCTTGATGTGGGTACTCAAGCTACTAACAATGCTCTGCATCTCTTAAGGGAAACACCCAAAACATTAAGGGAGCAGCAGATGAAACATCATAAGGACGGTGTTATAAATAGAGGCATACTTCACTTTAATAATATGAAGAGGGATCTAATAGCACCATCCTAAAATGGAATTGGGTGAATTTAGGAAGAATGACTTCCATATTACTGGAGGCATTCATATTTAGACTGGATGATCACTTTGCGTGATTACAGCAGGCGGAATTCAAGCTTCAGATGGTGTGAGCAGGTTGAGATCAATGACGTTTACGATTTCCTTTCAATCCTGTGGTTACCTGATTCTGAATCATTGACAAAGGCTCTTGGAGGTTGAGGTGCATCCATGTGTTAGGGTGCCATTGAGGCAAACTGGTGGGCTCCCTGGTAGGCATCAGGCATCTAGAATCATAGCTATAGGATTGGGCACTATTTCTTCTCCCTGCCACTCTGTATCCTTTGCCTTGGTGTGCGTTCTGCTGTCCCCATGTTGCTATATGAAATCTATAAAATCTTAATAGTCATCTGGACATACAGGAAAGGCCCAAGATGGCAAAGAAAGCCTGAGTCTTTCGTGAATCTCAGATGGAAGAGTGGAAACTCCCAAGTACAGAATAACAAACAAACTCCTGGCTATGACCTTGGCTGGCCTCTGCTTACCTCTTCTGGTTATCTCAGGTCCATTCCCCCAGCTCACTGTGCTCAGCCACACAGGACAAGGGCCAGTCTTAGAACACAGCACCTTTTATAATTCTCCTAATGAACACTTCCTTTATTATGTTTTTCCCCCCACTCTGTCTCCCTATTTAGTTCCTAGTTGTTATTAGTTATTCTCCGTCTTGCACACTGCTCAGCTTCCAGCTTCCATATTGAATAGCTAAATGAGTGTCCCAGAGCCAGAGCAAAGACAATAAGGTACAAAGACAATAAGTTCCTTGCACTTGGCTGTGGACAAGTGACCAAGGTCATGCCAACAAGAGTGTGAGTGGAAATGATATGCACCACATCTAGGCTTGGGCACACCAACTCCCACCACACAACCTTGACATGAACATAGCAGCTTTGGAAGATACTGGCTGAGCCTCAAGGCGGAAGGAGACGGGGCCCCTGAATCACCACTTGGGGACCAGTCATGGGCTGATGAGCAGCATCCGTGTTAGGTTTTATATTTGCAAGTAGCAAATTTCTGTCACAATGAATGTACATATATTTGTATACACATACGTAATACTGTAACATATACATACACAGAAAGCACTTCAAAGTGTTTGTGGAAAAATGGAATTAAAATACAATAGAATTCTTCCATGAAGTTTCCGAAGTTCCCTCATATACATGCACACACACATATGTACAACACATACATATACAAGTAAAAAAAGTATTGCTACTAGGGTTCCAGTTCATACCTGCACAGGTTTATTCCTGACAAAATGTGTTGAAACATGGTTCTGCGATCGGTGGAAAGCTACAGACTAAGGCTACACCTTAGTCCCCCTTAAGGTGCCTTCAGAAAAGATCCAATCAAAGCAGTGGCTTTCAAGGGAATCTGCTGAGTCAGTTCAAATCAAGGCAGAAAGGTCAGCTTAAAAAGTTACGGTGACTGTTTACTGGGATTACCAAGGGGTCATCTTGCTAGATTTGTCTGGGAGGACACAAGACAATCACAGGGACTTATGATGATGGTTTTAGAATGTGAAAACTGTGTTGGTGAGAAAAAAAGCCAGGAAAGTTGTATCAAGGAATTGTTTTCCATCACAACAATGTACCAGCTGATTCTTTGAGGGTTTCAAGGGCTGTCCTGCCGGAATTTCACTGGGAAACCCTACAGCCCTGATCTTGCCCCTTCAGACTTCATGTTACCCCAACATGAAGAACACTGAAAAGGATCACAATCTGAGTCCCTCCAGGATGCAACACCGCCATTATGTCATGGCATAAATCAAAGAGGACCTAATTCTTCAGGGAACAGTTACTGTTGTTGTTAAGTGCCGGAGAGTTGGTTCCGACCCATAGCGACCCTATACAAGGTTTCCAAGGTGCAGCTGGTGAGCCTGAACTACTGACCTTGGCAGTTCAAACGACTCTGCAGTCTGGCGCATTAACCCACAGCGCCACACCAGGACTCCTAGGTTAGAGAGATGGAAACACCACGTACAGACGCATACAGATCTAGAAGGAACTGAGGTGGAGGGACAACAGCAGCTTTTGTTTATTTAAGGTTTCTGTGATTTTGTCGCAATACTTTATGATGTACCCTCTTGTGTATATTTATACATATATCATATATATGTATACACACACACATATATATAATGTTGTTGTGATTGTTAAATGCTGTCAAGTCAGTTCTGACCCATAGTGACCGTGTATAGGGTTTCTAAGGAGCAGTTGGTGAACTTCAACTATCAACCTTGGGTTCAAACCGACTTTGCAGTCCAGTGCATTAGCCTGCAGCACTATACCATATATATATATACACATACATACTTACATACACATATACATACATATATGTACACACACATATGTACATATGTATACATATATGGAGGCTCACTATGGGTCAGAACAGACTCAATGGCACCTGACAACAACAACAACAACAACATATATGTATTTGTTAGAGCAGCAAATACTTAATATAAATGTCAATCTGATTTATGGCTTCTCTTTTTTTTATGACCTGGCCTTGAAGTCCACTCTGTAAAAATTCCTTCTGATTTCAATTGATGCTGTTCCCTGACCTCCGTATCCAGACAGGTGGGTACCATGGTGATGTGCTGGGACAGGGTTCTACCGTTAAGAGGACAGCTGACAGTTCTGCCGGGGTGGAGACTGCCTCCCACAACCTGGCTGTCTGTCACACCGTGGTGGCCTGTGTGTTCTCTGATTCTCATACAACATGTCAGTCTGTCACACCATGGTGGCCTATGTCTTCTCTGATTCTTGTATAACCCGTCTGTCCGTTTTCATTCTGTGGTGGCCTGTGATTTCCCACAACCTGTCTGTTTGTCACACCATGGTAGCCTGTGTGTGCTTACTCTTCACAAGCTGTCTGTTAGTCACACTGTGGTGGCCTGTGTATGCTAGGTTGCTGGAAACTCTGCCATCATCACTATTTCAAATACCAGCAAAGCCACCTTGCCACCAGGTTTCAGCAGAACATCCGGACTGAGAAGAAAGTTCTGACAATCTAGTTCCAAATACTAGTTCAAGAAAACCTAATGGATCATAACAGACACTCTGAGGCTCTCCTGCTTTTGACCAGAGCTGGAGGAGGACATCGGTTTGGTCAAGCAGAGGACAGCACAGACGATGGCATGGCTCAATAGCTGCAGAGATGGACGTGAACATGCCTGAGATGATAACACAGTGCCAGATCATGTTTTATTCTCTTGTACATGACATCTTCATGAGTCAGAGCTGACTCACTGACAGCAGCCTACCTAGAGGGTATCATATAAAGTCCTTAAGTCTCCATAAAAGTATGCACCCTTGACCCAGGAGTGACGCATCCCATTGTGTCACTGCCATGTGCCTGCTGGACTGCACGTCAGTCTGTACCAGTCACTGCTGAGCACGCTGAGGCTGACCCCAAATGGAAGCAGCCACTGAGAAAGAGTTCTGTCACCAGGCTCCCTGATTTCTGGTTTTCCAGCGACCCATTTCCTGGATAAATGCTTCTTTAGCAGATGTTCTTTTTGTTTAGTGAGGAACCCCAGTATCACAGTAGTTATATGCTGTGAACCAAAAGGTCGGCAGTTCAAACCTACCTGCTGCTCCTCGGACAAAGATGAGGCAACCTGCATCCATAAAGACTGATACTCGTGGAGACCCTGTGGGGCACTTACACTTACACTTCGTTCTTCAAGGTCCCTAGGAACTGGAATCGACATCATGGATGTAGCTTTGGTTTCATCAAATGTCTGTTTGCAGTCTGAAGGAGACACACTTTTCAGGCTCCTTAGGCCAAGTGCGTGTCTGTGATTTTCAGCAGATATTTCCAAGCACCCTCCTACAATTCCAAAATCTTGGATCTCAGAGTCCTTGAGTCTGATCTTCCACTCAGCACAGTTCTCCATAACATACCGAGGAAGTATCACCTCTGTTGTGCGTCCCCATCCCAAGAGAGCCTCCTTGTATAAGCTGGGTTGTCATTTGTGTTAAGTGTCATTGAGTCAGTTCTGAGTAATAGCGACCCTGTATAGGTTTTCTGAGGAGTGCCTGGTAGATCCGAACTGCCGACCTTATGGTCCAGTGCTTATCCTACAGTGCTACGCCAGGATCTCCCCTCAACTCTGCTCTATCATGCATACAACAGTCCTCAGAGACCAACTTCAGCTCTCATTGTCCCCGCCCCTACCTCAGTGCTCTTCACTCTGGTTTCTAACAGGAGCTCTCTCAGGGGTTCCAGAGACCCCCCCCTCTCTCACCCCATTTCATTTCCTTCATGTATAGATGTGACCCGGAGACCACCTTTCCCATTCATTTTCTCCCACCTTCAGCGGAAGATCTTATCCTAAAGCCCAGTGAACGCAGACGCCTCACAGCAAACCGGATATTGCATGATGGTCTCCGTGGCTCAGATATCTGATCCTGTCTCAGACGGTGGCACTGGGCCTGGGAGGCTGCTCACCGTCTTCTCCAGCAGCAGAAAGGGCTTCCAGCTGGTCCATCGCTCACAGCTTCTGTCTGACCAGGAATCCTCGGATATGGCAGAAAGAGCAAGAACTTCCTGGGCTAGCGTCTAAGGCTCAAGCTCAAAGCTGCCCCAAGAACAAGTGGCCTGCCCACAGTCAGGTATCTGGACAGGGAGGCCTCACTGTCTTCATCTGTGAAGTGGGAAAGCAGGAGTGCCCCCACATGGGGCTGAGTGAGCCTCAGACAAGGCGCAGGGCACAGTGTGGGCATGAGGGAGGTATGTCCACTACTCCTGCAATGAGAGACTCTGCTAGGTAGGGGGGTAGAGCTGTCATTCGATTCTCAAACTACTCTCTGTGCCCCTCTCTTGCCTGAAGGGGGCTAGAGAGCACACTTCTGCACCCAGGATATCTGATTTCATTTGCTCCAACGTGGAACTCTTTCACGGCCCAGCCATGTCTTCATCACTCCCTCTGCCAAAGTTCAGAGCTACATGACCTGCTTCGGGGTCTGTGAGCACATCCACACAGTGATGGTCAAGTGGGGACCCCTGCCAGGGGGTGTTCCAGGACCTCCGTCTACAGCCAGACCCAGACTTAGCAAGAACTCCTGGCTGAAAGCAACACCCACCAGAAGCCACACTAGTAGAAGCAGTAGCAATATTGCTTCACATTGATTCTAAGAGCCTGGAGTCCTGGTGTGGAGCTGTAGGATAAGCACTGGACTGCTAACCACAAGGTCAGCGGTTCAAACCCTTGACAGAGAAAGTTACTTCTTGGAAACTCTATATGAGCCAGAACTGACTTGATGGCACTTAACAACAACAACCTTCTAAGAGCGTAAGGACCTCTGGTGGTTGAATGAGATGATCACTAGGCTGGTGAAGTTCCTCGGCAGGAAGAGGAGGCAGTCTGCGTCAGTAAAGCTTTACAGCCTCAGAAACCCTAGGTCCTACACGGTCGCTACGAGTCAGAATTGATTCGGCAGCAGCAGGTGGGTGGTGATTCTATGAGCTTGGAGACCCTGAGTGATACGAATGGTTAATGCACTTGGCTGCAAACTGAAAAGCTGGAGATCTGAGCCAACCCAGAGGCATTTTGCAACAAAGTCCTAGTGATCTTCACTGAAAATGGTACGGAGCACAGCTTTAAGGCACGCAAGTGGTGGCTGTGAGTTAGAGTTCACTGAGCAGCAACCGTTCTGGTGACTCTAGGAGCACTGGCGGATCTGGAAACAGTCCATTCGAGTCATGTGTATCTTCTGGTTACTTCTCATCCTAGCTGCTCACCTTTAAGTTTTGCGTACCTGCTGAACTGAAGGCATGGTGAGACCACAGACAGGCATGAGCATGCACCACTCATAGGAGGAGGGACTTGAGCTCAGGCTGCCTGCTCTGTCACCCTGGGTCCCCCTCCCAGGAAGCTGCTTTAGAACCGGTCTCTACAGTCAGACCCAGACCCTCATTGCTGGAAAGATCACAGGTCCTTTTCTAAATGGGCCAGCACGTCATCTCTGTTTCTCTTTCAAGATGGTGCAGACAGCTCTGTTTGGGTCCTGGACCATTGTTCGTGTCTTCTTCCCGCACCTTTTAGTTCATCCCATACTTGCAGAGGGCACAGTGTCCCGCGCCATCTGTAAGCATGGTTTCCTTGAGGCAAGGATTGGGAGGGCATGGCAGTACTGCTTTGCGGTGTTCTGGTCATGTGGGACCCTGGAGGTCAGCCCTACCAAGCGGATGTCCCAAAAGAGCTGCAGTAGCTTTTGGCAGGTTATCCGGTCCAGCGGAGTTCTGTAGCCAAGATATGCCTCCGTGCTGCTAGATTTGTAATAAGTCCTTGGCCAAGAGGCTTCTTGGACCTTACACGTTAATACGTCAGGAGCTCTTCCATGAGGTGGGAGACAGCTCGTGGCAGGCCCCAATTCATGCCACAACAGTGCCCTTCACTCCCGCCACATGGCAGGGGCGTCCACACAGCATCCTGGTGGAAATGCTGCCACAGCTGCTGGTGAGGAGCCCAGAGCAGCCTTCTCTGAGCCCCATGGAGCACAGTCATGGAGAACCCACCTGTGTCAGAGCAGAGCCACTCCACAGGGTTCTCTGGGCTTCAGTCATAACGGAGTACGATCGCCAGGACTTTCTTCCATGGTACTGCTGGGTGGGTCTGAACCAGCAACATTTGGGTAAGCAGTCACACATAAATTATGGCATCAAGTCCACGGCAACGAACAGCAACAACATGGAGTGTGATTCAAGTCTGAGACACTCAGGGGCGCTATGAGTCAGAGTCAACTCATCGGTAACCAGCTTTGATTTCGGATAAGGAAAGTGGAAACCACTACTGGGGTGATGGGAAATCACCCACAGGATCTCAATTTCTTCCTATAAGGTAGGGGTGGGGAACGTCCAGCCCATGGGCATGTTGTTGTCAAGTGCCATCAAATTGGTTCCAACTCATAGTGACCCTATATAGCATTTCCAAGAAGCGGCTGGTAAATTTGAACTACTGACTTTGCAGCTCAGAGCAATCTTGTAGTCCAGTGCATTATCCCACAGTGTCACACCAGGTCCACAAAATCATCTGATTTGGCCCTGCCAAGGCAACCACAGTTCCAGCCATAACATTACAGCAGGCTAATTTTTTTTTTTAATGTTTTATTGTGAATTATGTGATCGTTTACATGGGAGAACTTGAGCTTTATATTCATACTATCATGTATCGTTTCATTGCCATGGTTACAATCCCCTCCATGCATCATCACCCATCCAAAGTGCATACGCTGAAAGCCTGCCCCCTGGTTGTCAGCACACAGCCCCTCTCCCTCTCTGGGTCTAGAGTCCCCAGCCCTTCCATCTCTCCACGTCATCATCTCTGGCATCACTGATTCTCTGGGTAGGGTACCGCACTCCACTCTTCTCCCTTGATGGTTTCAGGGACCGCAGATCCTGGACTGCATAGTTAGTCACTCCCCTCCTTTTGCTACAAAATGTCCACCTTTACGTTTCCAACCCAGCAGGCTAATTTTTAAGCTGATGATTTTGTATGGCCTGCAAATGATAGTACAAACATTCAAATGGCCCTCGCAGAAAAAACAGGTTCCCCACCCCTGCCCTAAGGCTACAAACAGGTTCTCCACCCCTGCCCTAAGGCTAAAAGAGGGAAAGGGCCATTCCTGACCCTCTGGGTCCACAAACGCCCAGGGAAGCCCAACATCCCACCCATGTGAGCCACATCAGCTCCAGGACACAGAAATGTCCAGCCTAAGACCCACACTCCTCCCATAATGCAGGGAGGGAGGTGTACTGTGGGCAAGACATGAGGATACCAGATGCTGCACTGGATGAACATGTGAGCTTCACTGTCACCAAAACACTGACGGGGTCTAGACAGCAAAGCCATCCCAGATTTGGGCATGCCTAGGGCTAGAGTTCTGGCTGTGAGGTGGTTATGAATCGGGCTGCGAACCGCAGGGTCAGCAGTTCGAAACTACCACCTGTTCCGTGGTAGAAAGATGAGGCTTTCTGCTCCCGTAAAGATTTACAGCCTTGAAAACCCTGTACAGGGTCACTATGGGCGGAACCAACTCCATGGCACATAACCACCATCAGGGCTAAAGTTGCAGATAAACTACATGAAGCCTGATTAAAATGTAAACTTCAGATAAACAACAAATAATTTTCCAGGGTCAGTATGGGAGTCTTCTAAAAGCTCATGGAAGAATTCCATTATATTTGAATTCCGATATTCCATGGATTTTTTGAAGACCCCCTCAGCTATCCCACATCTGAAAGTGAAGAGGACTTGTAGTACTGCGTGAAGGACTTGAAGAAACGACATGACTTACTGCATGGGGTAAATGTGCTGCAAAAGAGCTCTCGACAGTGTTCAAGAGTGAAGGCGTCACTTTGAGGACTAAGGGGCGTCTGACCCAAGCCAAGATATTTTCAATCGTTTCTTATGCATGTGAAAGATGGACAATGAAGTAGGAAGATGGGAGAAGATTTTATCCTTTTGAATGATGGCATTAAAAAATACTAAGTGTACCATGGACTACCAAAAGAATGAACAAATGTGTCTTGGAGGAAGTACAGCCGTTGTTTCTGAGAAGGGAGGAAGGTGAGACTGTTTCTAATTGACTGTGTCCCTGAAGGAACACATCCTGCTTGGTGAGGTAGAGGGTGAACGACTAAGAGGAAGGCCCTCAACAAGATGGACCGACAAAACGGCTGCAGCAATGACTGCAATGATGGCATCGGACTGGGCACTGTTTAACTCTGATGTACACAGGGTGACTGGGAGTGGGAACCAACTTGGCAGCCCCTAACAACAACATCATATCCCACTTCATATACCGACACGAAAAAAGTCTATGCTGTTTGAGGTTCAAATTGAACTGAGCCCTCTGTGTTGTGATTTACTGGATGAGTCTAAGGGGTGGAAGAGCAGAGCCCACCTGATAGCTTCTGCAATCCGCGTGCTCTCCTTCCGCCGGTCGCTGGACAGTCTTCCAATGAGGTAGGAATAGTCCAAACCGCTGCAGAACACACTGCCGACTGCGCTGAGGAGCAGAAGTTTGCTGTCATCTGTGGCTGCGTTGCAGAGGGCTCTTCGGACTTCCTTCATGATCTGTGGACAGAGAGCAATTGGCATGCATTTAAGGAGGTTGTCCCGGAAGCCAGGGGGCTGAGGCTGCTGCGTCTGAACCCCCCACCCCCATAAAGGGGACAGGCAAGTAAGTATCCTGTGTCAGACCAAGGGGAGAAATACTTACGGAAACCAAAGCTGTTCTGCACTGAGCCCAAAGCAGCTGTGGCAGTGTAGTACATGGGTTGTTGTTGTTGTTGTTGTTGTACCGTGGAGTCAGTTCTGACTCATAGTGACCCTGTACAGGGTTCCCAAGGCTGTAAATGTTTTACGGGAGCAGAAAGCCTCATCTTTCTCCCACGGAACAGCTGGCAGTTTTGAACTGTCAACCTTGAGGTTAGCAGTCAGATTCGTAACCACTACGCTACCAGAGTGAATGGGTAGAGTTTTGAAACCTGAATTGGAACAGTCTAGTTCCCTGGTGAGTCTCTGCAAATCAGCGACCGACACTTGCTCACTCAGCCCTACACAAGGTGTGACAAGACAATTGAGGGACATATGCCACCTCTGTTGTTGTGTGATGCTCAGTTGATTCCAACTCATAGCGACCCTGTGGGGCAAAGCAGAGCAGTCCCTTAAGGCAAGGCTGGTTGTAACTCTTTACAGGGGCAGATGGCCAGCTCTTTCTCCTAGAGTGACTGGTGAGTTTTAACTTAAACACCGAGCTTCCCATCAGCAGTAGCTAAGCACTTAACCCGTGTGTCACCATGTAACATGCCGTTGTTGTTGTTGTTGTTGTTGTTATATGCCATCAAGTTGGTTATGACTCAGAGCGACCCTTTATACGATTTCTGAGGAGCGGCTGGTGAGTTTGAACCGCCGACCTTGAGTTCAAACCGACCTTTTGGTCCATTATATTATCCACGGTGCCACACCAGGACTTCATGCATATGTTTAATTCAATCAAGACCTTGGCAAAGCTCTTACTTGGCATCAAATCCAGACCTGGCTTCAAAGTTCTTCTGGTGCAAATGCTGGCTCTAAGCTTTCTCGCCACGTGAGCCCGGCTGTACTCATCTTATGAGAGGAACCACGCACCCAGCTTCAAGGACTCATGGGAGCAAATGAACACAAGTGCAGTAGCTGCTTGCCGGGAAATGCAGAAAAAGGGCATTTGTTCCTCTTCTTTATGCCATTCATGTGACATGAAGGAGCTGGTTGGTCACCCTGCTCGTCCTCATGGACAAGCTCTGCTTATCTTCTGCACATACGCACTGTGTGCTTGTAGGGCCCTGAGACCTGGCCTGGCACTAAGGAATAAACACTGGACTGCTAACCGCAAGGTCAGACAACTATACAGATGACGCTAGGGCTCTAAACTGACTCAACAGCATTAAAAACAACCACAGGACCTTGCCTGGGGCTAGGGGACGGATTACAGACAGAGACAGAGGTGCCAGGGGTGAGAAGAGCAAAGCACTTGCTACATCAGAAGCAAGCACTGTGTGCCAGGCATCATGCTGAGTGGCACAGTCCTCCAAAAACACCTACTCACAGGTCAGAGAATAGAGGCCCAGAGAGGTACAGACACTAGCCAAGTGTAAGAGGCAGGACGGGAACCCAGGTCTGACATAAGACAATGTCCACTCTATGCTCTTGGCCACTATACATCACCACTGTTTGGTTTGGCAGCCAAATCAGAGCAAGTGCCTGACTAGGGAAGGACACACAAGGAAAGTCCAGGACTCATCAGTCATAACCCTTAGGCCACTGGGCCTTCCTTCACGGGTGCTTCCAGACTAAGACAGACCAGAAAGAGACACCAAGCAGCAGACCTCTGATAATGAGCCAAGGAAAACTGGATGGAGCCCAACAGTGCGATCCACAGCTGATCAAGGGACAGCGTGGGAACAGGCAGCCTTCTGGACCCGTCTACACAGGGCCGCCATGATTCAGGGCTGACCTCTTGGCAGCCAACAGCAACCATTTCCACACAACGTTCTAAACCAAGTGAAAACCCTGCAAAGCAGGGAGTGTTATCTCAACTTTGTTGTTGTTAGGTGCCATCGAGTTGATA